TCCCCTACAGATGTTCTATATCTTGCTACTTCGAAGCCATGTTCCACTACAGATGTTTTATATCATGCTACTGGGTTGACATGTTCTCCTACAGATGATGTATATCATACTACTGGGGTGCCATGTCCCCTACAGATGTTCTATATCATGCTGCCGGGGTGTCATGTCCCCTACAGATGTTCTATATCATGCTACTGGGATGCCATGTCCTAACAGATCTTCTATATCATGCTACTGGGGTGCCATGTTCCCTACAGATGATCTATATCATACTAATGGGGTACCATGTCCGCCTACAGTTGTTCTATATCATGCTAGAGGGGTGCCATGTCCACTACAGATGTTCTATGTCATGCTACTGGGATGCCATGGCCCCTACATATAGTCTATATCATGCTACTGGGGCGTCTAGTTCTCCTACAGATGTTCTATATGATGCTACTGGGGTGTCATGTTCCCTACAGATGTTCTATATCATGCTACTGGGGTGCCATGTTCCGTACAGATGATCTATATCATGCTACTGGGGAGCCATGTCACCCACAAGTGTTCTATATCATGCTACTGGGGTGCCATGTTCGCCTACAGATGTTCTATATCATGCTACTGGGGTGACATGTCCCCTACAGATGTTCTATATCATGCTACTCGGGTGACATGTTCAACTATAGAAGATCTGTATTATGCTACTGGGGTGCCATATTCCCCATCAGATGTTCTATGTCATGCTACTGGGTTGTCTTGTCCACTACAGGTGAGCTATGTCATGCTACTGGGGAGCCATGTCCGCCTACAGATGTTCTATATCGTGCTAATGGGGTGCTATGTCCCCTACAGATGTTCTATATCATGATATTGGGATGCCATGTCCCCTACAGATATTATATATCATGGTACTGGGGTACCATCTCCTGCTCCAGGTCTTATATATCATACAGGGTACTTCATGTCCTCCTACATCTGTTCTATATCATCCTACTGGGGTGCCATGTTCCCTACAGATGATCTATAACGCGCTACTGTGGTGCCAAATTCCCTTACATATGTTCTATATCATGCTACTGGGATTCCATGTGCCCTACAGATGTTCTATTTCACGCTACTAGGGTGCCATGTTCCTTTCAGACGTTCTATATCATGCTACTGTGGTGCCTTATCCCCCTTCAGATGTTGTATGTCATGCTACTGGGTTGTCTTGTCACGTACAGATGTTCTATATCAGGCTACTGGGGTACCATGTTCCCTACAGATGATCTATATCATGTTACTGGGGTGACATGTCCCATACAGATGTTCTATATCATGCTACCGGGGTGCCATTTTCCCCCGCAGATAGTGTGTATCGTCCTACTAGGGTACCATGTCCGCCTACAGATGTTCTATATCATGTTACTGGGGAGCCATGTCCCCTACAGATGTTCTATATCTTGCTACTTCGAAGCCATGTTCCACTACAGATGTTTTATATCATGCTACTGGGTTGACATGTTCTACTACAGATGATGTATATCATACTACTGGGGTGCCATGTCCCCTACAGATGTTCTATATCATGCTGCCGGGGTGCCATGTCCCCTACAGATGTTCTATATCATGCTACTGGGATGCCATGTCCTAACAGATCTTCTATATCATGCTACTGGGGTGCCATGTTCCCTACAGATGATCTATATCATACTAATGGGGTACCATGTCCGCCTACAGTTGTTCTATATCATGCTAGAGGGGTGCCATGTCCCCTACAGATGTTCTATATCATGCAACTGGGGAGCCATGTCACCCACAAGTGTTCTATATCATGCTACTGGGGTGCCATGTTCGCCTACAGATGTTCTATATCATGCTACTGGGGTGACATGTCCCCTACAGATGTTCTATATCATGCTACTCGGGTGACATGTTCAACTATAGAAGATCTGTATTATGCTACTGGGGTGCCATATTCCCCATCAGATGTTCTATGTCATGCTACTGGGTTGTCTTGTCCACTACAGGTGAGCTATGTCATGCTACTGGGGAGCCATGTCCGCCTACAGATGTTCTATATCGTGCTAATGGGGTGCTATGTCCCCTACAGATGTTCTATATCATGCTACTGGGGTGCCATGTTCCGTACAGATGATCTATATCATGCTACTGGGGAGCCATGTCACCCACAAGTGTTCTATATCATGCTACTGGGGTGCCATGTTCGCCTACAGATGTTCTATATCATGCTACTGGGGTGACATGTCCCCTACAGATGTTCTATATCATGCTACTCGGGTGACATGTTCAACTATAGAAGATCTGTATTATGCTACTGGGGTGCCATATTCCCCATCAGATGTTCTATGTCATGCTACTGGGTTGTCTTGTCCACTACAGGTGAGCTATGTCATGCTACTGGGGTGCCATGTTCCCTACAGATGATCTATATCATACTAATGGGGTACCATGTCCGCCTACAGTTGTTCTATATCATGCTAGAGGGGTGCCATGTCCCCTACAGATGTTCTATATCATGCAACTGGGATGCCATGTCGCCTACAGTTATTGTATATCATGGTACTTGGGTACCATCTCCTACTCCAGGTTTTATATATCATACAGGGTACTTCATGTCCTCTTACATATGTTCTATATCATCCTACTGGGGTGTCAAGTCCCCCTACAGATAGTCGATATCATGCTACTGGGGTGTCATATCCCCCTACAGATATTCTATGTCATGCTACTGGGGTGCCATGTCCCCCGACAGATGTTCTATGTCATGCTACTGTGGTGTCAAGCCCCCATATAGATAGTCTATATCATGCTACTGGGGTGCCATGTACCCCGACAGATGTTCTATGTCATGCTACTGGGATGCCTTGGCCCCTACATATAGTCTATATCATGCTACTGGGGCGTCTAGTTCTCCTACAGATGTTCTATATGATGCTACTGGGGTGTGATGTTCCCTACAGATGTTCTATATCATGCTACTGGGGTGCCATGTCCCCTACAGATGTTGTATGTCATGCTACTGGGTTGTCTTGTCACGTACAGATGTTCTATATCAGGCTACTGGGGTACCATGTTCCCTACAGATGATCTATATCATGTTACTGGGGTGACATGTCCCATACAGATGTTCTATATCATGCTACCGGCGTGCCATTTTCCCCCGCAGATAGTGTGTATCATCCTACTGGGGTACCATGTCCGCCTACAGATGTTCTATATCATGTTACTGGGGAGCCATGTCCCCTACAGATGTTCTATATCTTGCTACTTCGAAGCCATGTTCCACTATAGATGTTTTATATCATGCTACTGGGTTGACATGTTCTCCTACAGATGATGTATATCATACTTCTGGGGTGCCATGTCCCCTACATATGTTCTATATCATGCTGCCGGGGTGCCATGTCCCCTACAGATGTTCTATATCATGCTACTGGGATACCATGTCCTAACAGATCTTCTATATCATGCTACTGGGGTGCCATGTTCCCTACAGATGATCTATATCATACTAATGGGGTACCATGTCCGCCTACAGTTGTTCTATATCATGCTAGAGGGGTGCCATGTCCCCTACAGATGTTCTATATCATGCAACTGGGATGCCATGTCGCCTACAGATACTGTATATCATGGTACTTGGGTACCATCTCCTACTCCAGGTTTTATATATCATACAGGGTACTTCATGTCCTCCTACATATGTTCTATATCATGCTACTGGGGTGTCAAGTCCCCCTACAGATAGTCGATAACATGCTCCTGGGGTGTCATATCCCCCTACAGATATTCTATATCATGCTACTGGGGTGCCATGTCCCCCGACAGATGTTCTATGTCATGCTACTGTGGTGCCAAGCCCCCATATAGATAGTCTATGTCATGCTACTGGGATGCCATGGCCCCTACATATAGTCTATATCATGCTACTGGGGTGCCTTGTCCCCTATAGATGTTCTATGTCATGCTACTGGGGTGCCATGTTCCCTACATATGTTCCATATCCTGCAGAGTATGCCATGTCCCACAACAGATGGTCTATATCCTGCAGAGTATGTCATGCCCCCCTACAGATAGTCTATGTCATGCTACTGGGGTGCCATGTCCCCAACAGATAGTCTATGTCATGCTGCTGGGATGTCATGTCCCACAACAGATGTTCTATATCCTGCAGAGTATGTCATGTCCCACAACTGATGCTTTATATCCTGCAGAGTATGCCATGTCACCTTATAGATAGTTTATATTATGCAGGGTATTTCATGTCCGCCTACAGATGTGCTATATCATGCTACTGGGGTGGCATGTCCCAAAAGAGACGTTCTATATCTTGCAGGGTATGTCATGTCCCCCAACAGATAGTCTATATCATGCTACTGGGGTGCCATGTCCAACAACATATGTTCTATATCTTGCAGGGTATGCCATGTCCCCCTACAGATGTTCTATATCTTGCAGGGTGTGCCATGTCCCCCTACAGATAGTCTATATTATGCTACTGGGGTGCCATGCCCCCCTACAGATGTTCTATATCATGCTACTGGGGTGCCATGTCCCCCGACAGATATTCTATGTCATGCTACTGGAGCATCGATCTGTGCAATTGGGAATCGATGACTTGTGTCAACCAAGCCAGCGAGCCTCACCACCCGATCCCGTTAGTCGCCTCTTACGACAAGCATGGGCTACTGAAGTTTCATTCTAACCCGGACCTTCACGGGTTCATGTTTGTCGAAGTGTCAAATCAAGGTACTGTAAGCTGTTTGAGATATTGTATGGTACATGTGTGCTTATGGTGGCATCTAGTTCACTAAGGGCGGGTGAATTACCCTGTCTACAACGCCAGATTTACAAGATTGCATGTGGATATCGTCTGTATAAGACTAACCGTCTTATGAGAGAAGAACAGAGGACAATGCTACTTTCACATTGCATCTTGATACGATCATTTCGGGCCTTTCATTTAACATCAATAAAAAAATTGCAATATATTCCAAAATGTATCGTTTTACCTGTTGGTCTGTTCTTTGTCTTCTGCTGGCTTTCAGCACCGTCACTGGATGTTGATGGCTGGATCACCTGTTGACCACCCATGGATACATTGTGTGCGGTAAGATTGGCCACCTCAGTCGTCTTTGTCAAGTTGAGCTGTGGGTTGTTGATATCTGAAAGAAGAGAGTAGGGCGTCAGTGGTTGCTCCGTGTGGATGACTGGAACACGGGATACGTACATAGACATCCAAATGTAAACGTAAGACACCCTGTTGTTGGTGTTTGTTTCTCATATATTACTCTGAACACCCTCCCTACGTCGATTCGCATGGTATCTTGCTACACATGTGCTAATGGGATGAAGGAAAACGACAAATATATCTGTTTCTTTCTCCCAGTGTTAAGCTTTGACAGATCGTGCGTGTGTGTAGGTTTCGCATCAAACTGACACACATTTTCCCTTAAAATGTAACGTGTATTGTAACAAAGTGATGTGGGGTAGCATGCCACTTGTTGTTTCTATTTCCCGAGAGGGCAGCTGCGCTCAGTGCATAGCCAGTCTTTGATGTTTTAACACATTTACACATCCATAACTGCAACCATAATTGAATCAAACCTTCCTGAATCTACTATATAAGTATGATATGTATTGACATATTGACATATAATCAAAACTTATACCTACGTATATGTGTTACTTGCTGTTTGGTATTCACTGATGACATGGCGTTGCTGACTGTTTCTGCTATAGCAAGCGACAAGTCTTGCGTTTCACCTGCAATAGAACAACACAGGTGTTTTAAAAGATAATATACAGAAATACGGTCAATTGTTTATGGAGAATCAATGAGTTATTTCAAATCCTTCGCACAAACTCACCTTGTGTCAGTGACACAGCTCCCTGCAGAGGCGATGGAGACATATTCGTTCGTCCATCGTCGTTTTGATGAATAACATCTGTGTCCTTACGTGTTTCCGTTTTGTGGTGGCTGTTTCTGTGATATATAGCCTCCAAAGGCAGGATCAAAATCATTGCTGATACGAAGCGTCTCCTCCTTCTCTTCCTTGTCCTCCCCTTCCTTCTCCTCCTCGGCAACATCACTTCCTGAATCGCTCATCGAGTAATATAGGCCTGGTGTAACCTCCCCTGTGTCATCGCTGTCGGCACCATCAGAGTCTTGGAGAGGGTGAGCTCATTTTGCAACATGTTCCATTACCTGATTCTGGAATTCAATTATACAAGACACAAGTAATAACCCAATAGGTATGTTGGCATGTCTCAGGCAGCAATCAGGTGACTTCACAATTTTAAGAGGATCGAGTGCATGTATTTAGTTCAAAGAAATCAAAATGACCCAGTAAGTGTGCGTAAGAAACATTTGATGCATGTATCATTAAGATTTGGTATCTTCTACTGTAGTTTACTCTGTTTGATTGGCATTTAGAAGTTGGTGACTAATAAGAAAGTGAGATTGTTTATGGATAACAACTTCTTTTATTATATATGATGCGACGTTTCGGTATGGATTCTTATACCGTTGTCAAGCAAGAGTGAAGTACTACAGCACAGAACAGACAAGAGTGAAGTACTACAGCACAGAACAGACAGGAGTGAAGTACTACAGCACAGAACAGACAGTGAAGTACTACAGCACAGAACAGACAGGAGTGAAGTACTACAGCACAGAACAGACAAGAGTGAAGTACTACAGCACAGAACAGACAGGAGTGAAGTACTACAGCACAGAACAGACAAGAGTGAAGTACTACAGCACAGAACAGACAAGAGTGAAGTACTACAGCACAGAACAGACAAGAGTGAAGTACTACAGCACAGAACAGACAAGAGTGAAGTACTACAGCACAGAACAGACAAGAGTGAAGTACTACAGCACAGAACAGACTGGAGTGAAGTACTACAGCACAGAACAGACAAGAGTGAAGTACTACAGCACAGAACAGACAACCTCCCGGCCCATAAATATCAGAATCAAAGAACACTTATCATCTACCACTAAATCTGACAGAAAATCAGCAATATCAGACCACATCATCAACTGTCCCAATCACAACATAATTTGGGACAATGTAGTGATATTATCGAAAAACTACCAGGACTTCGCCAAAAGAAAACCTGTAGAAGCAGTTCAAATCCGGAGACACAAGCCCTCAATCAACAGAGACGAGGGATATCTCATCCCTTCTGCATACAATGAACTGATAAAAACAACAGATTAGCACTCCAGCTATCATTGCTAATTAATCTCATCAGCCATGTATATTTTGTTTCTGCCTCTAGGACCATTGGCTTCCTCCTATTATCACTACATTATTACCACCGAGTCTTGTTGTTGTTGTTGTTAATCCCCTTGATTCATACCTACATGTTGTTATTACTTAATCCCTGTTCATGTATATAAGTCTGTTCTGTGCTGTAGTACTTCACTCTTATAAGAATCCATACCGAAACGTCGCATCATATATAATAAAATAAGTTGTTATCCATAAACAATGTTACTTTCTTACTGTAGTTTACTGTGAAACAGTGATGTAACTGTATTACATTGTTTCTGGTTAGGTTCATTACAGCTTGTTTAGCTTGACCTGAACTACTCTACATTTGCATGACACGGGAGGTGAAATGACACAAACGGCAGGTCGGTTATCTTCTTTAATAGGGGAGCAGAGAATGTTGTTAATGTTGCCTTCTTGCGAAGCATGCATATATGGAGGCATTACAGAAGCTGTCCCGGAAAACAACACATCTGAAAATCATTTCATGTTTTAATTGAATTGTTTAAACAGTCATATGCTATTTAGTTTGGTTTACTAACTTTACAACGTACATACGTCAGTTACTTTCACAATCCGATTCACTCCCGCTATCACTCTCTACACCCGGTTCAATTATCACTTTTTCTATTTCATGTTAAACTGCAATATTTCTGTCCAAGTAGTCGCTTTCCAAATTTTCAACATGGGTACAGCAATCAGTCCACACGTTTACACCAATCAACTGACAAATGTAGACAATAATAGACCCAACCAGTTGTGACAAGGTCAACAATTCATTACCATTCACTTGATCAGGCCAAGCTGAACAAGCTGTTGATCTTAAGAAGATTATGTATCTAAACAATCAGTTGTCAGCAAGGTATTACTTCATAATGTAAGCAGTGGTGTGGAAGTCACTATATTTAGACTCTTTTAGGGGTCAAGTGTAACCTGGAATATTCTAGAACAGCGTAGACTAGTCGTCCAAAGTATGAAAATTGCTGAAAAAGATATTTAGACTATATAAGCGGGGAAATATACCAGGGAAAATGATGCGGTTATAATGTGAATTAAAAAATTGCAAATAATATAAATCCAAGGTTTTATTTGAGAAAATGATTGAAATAAGACCTTATCTTCCACAACAAACTAGATCTTCTCGCCATGTGTTAACAATAACCTCATTAGAAAACAGACGTTTTTGCTGCATACAATGTTGCTACCGATAACATAGTTTAATACGGGAACACGTAACTCTTTATATCTATTCGGAGATGGCATATAGTAGTATATATTATCGCCTTATTAAGTTTTGACCCCCATGGAAACATCCTTTCTGGTATTGCTGACATATTTCATGTGGTCTTCTGGGTATGGAAAAGTCAATACGACGTTGTTGGGGCAAAGGATAAAACCCATTTGAATCACCATTCGAATGAACCATAACTTCATTTCTAAATATACAAGCTATCTCTATGATTAATTTCTTCCAGTTTTTCAACAATATTTATATATTGCCTGTTAACATTCCACGGTTCATTTAACGGAAAGCTTCTATTCTGGGGAGGCATGTAGCTCCCCTTAAATACACACAAATTGCCAGAAATAGTTATAATGTTTTATAACACACATGGTGAAACATAACCAGTGTCATATATTATGCGTATTGCCCCAAAGTTCGTATTGCGATGTATTGCTATACACTCTTCTGTATTGCGATACATATTGCGATATATTGTGAAAGAACAGTTATTGAGATCTGTCCACTTGTCATATTTTTTTACCTTGCAATTGAATCACAGTATATATGCGAGTAACAATTGTGCATTGTATAACTTCTTTCAAAGCAAGAAAAAGGAAAAACCAGAACATTCTTCTGTTTATTTTTTATGTTAAAACAGCAGGGATCCACAAGTTCTCCGCGCTAGTGGATTTTGTATGTCACCAGCCATTTCCAAATATTACCAGCCCTACACTTTACTATAAAAACTTTCAACAAGTCTTTCTTTTAATGGTAACTGCTGTCCAAGGGAAAGTTAACACAGATAAATGTATGATTTCTTATTTCATATATATGACAAAATCAACGGAAACTAGCTTATACCATGTCCTCCATCAAACCACCCATACTAAACTAACGGGCAAAAGAAACCATACTGAGTCAAAATCATTGATATTATAAAACGACAAACCACCATTGAGTAAAAAGGAAAGAGAATTTTGACAACAGGTGTATAGGCAACATGCCTGTGCATACACATGCCCATACACTTGTTATTACAATTCACTTTCCCTTTACACAATGGTACACAGCCGACATGTCACTTGACTTGCATAACATGATCGCACACAAAAATATGGAGATAGGAACTTAGATGTACGTCTGACAACTTTTATGAAAACTGTAGATATTATTCATTAGTTTATTCAGTTTTAATGATTTCCTCGAAACATCGATACTTTGATCTTTGCCAGTATTTTAGTGGACCCGTTGCCAATCGTTTGGAAAAACTGCCGCCCAATCCCCACCCACCACCTTCCATATTAACTGAATATAGATCTATATTTTTTCCCTCGCCATTAACATTAAGGGGGTATGCGGGCAGAAGTCTTACCTGCGGTGTTGAATGGATTAAAATTGAACAAATAAATCTTTGTCGGTATACCAGTACATCATAAACGTATCGCGATACGTAATTGTTACAATGTTGTAATGTCGTATTGCGGTTTACCGGTATACCGTGCAGCCCTATGTAACAATGTGGTGTCATTTGACCTATGACTTTAAAGACACACATTTCATTTAGTTGAATATTTAACTTAATCAACCCCACTTTGCCATTGCTAGAAAACTTTTAAAAATAACTTCTTAACTGGGCACGAACCATTGTGGAAATGATACAGTCTGTTGCCATTTGAAGATATTGTTACATTATTGATATTTATGTAAGTTGAGTCAATCAATTGGAGTGAACAATTAATCAGTCATCAATCACATTTAATCATCAAAAGTGAACTCAGACAATTCTAGTGAACATACGAGAACATGTAACATTGAAACGGAAGATATGTATATCATAAAAAACCTGTCGACGAAGGACAGTAAAACAACTAGAATATCACAATTACAACTAAAACTAGTGTGGAGAGTTAAATCTAATAGCACTATTTTGACAATACAATATAAAAACTGGCTTTTGATGGCCAACAACTGAAGGTAGATCACCAAACTAGGTACCATGGGGACTTACATTACTTTTGCTACCTGCATGGACCCTAGCTGGATATGTATCATCCCTTCAGCCACTGGCGATGGTAGGAAGATTAAGCCGAAATTTAAAATAACACAAATACTAGAATTAAAACCGCTGGTAAATTTAAATTTCCTTTGAATGTTTTGGGACTTACGTACCCTCTCAGGAGGACAATAATTTAAAGCTACTTCACCCCCGTTTGAGAGTACAGCCACCTACAATCTCATTTACTAATCTAAACCACCAATAATAAAATATGTATCTATTTACAAATCTGTCACAAGTTTTTTTAAAATGCCATTATTAAATGAGAAGTTATATTACTAAAAAGATCCTTCATAGTTTGTGATTTGAATTAGATATTCCTTGAGATGGAATATTCAACACGGTCAAGCAGGACATGCTTGACCGTGATTCTTTCATCACAAGGGAAACACAACGGAGGATCCTCACCTTTTTCAAAGGTACTCATGAGTATATCTTGTATGGCCAATGCGACATAGTCGCATAATGACCTCTTCAAATCTGGACTGGCAACCCAAGTAGGTGTAACCGATAGTTGGTTTTTATTGCATGTAATTTATTGATACTTACTTGGGTGTCCCACTTCTTTTGCATCAGATCACGGATATAAGATCTAATAGCAGCTTTGTAATCAGAGTATAGGATAAGAAGTGGTGTCACAGATTTGTTGA